GACGAATCCTCTATTAGTCATTCACAACCTTCATACAATTCTTGACATAACCGAACGATATCGTATTAGTGACCCTTGGCAGAACAAGATCCAACACTATCAAAGCATGACTATTCTCATATAAGGTACTATGACGACTTCAAGTCAAAAGACCAATCACATTTACTATGACTGGATCCACTAGCGCCGAGAGGCTTTTTTTTCTTTTTTTTTTTTTGGTCGAAAATAGAGTTTAAGGATATATTACTGACAAGTCAGTTTCATTACAACTTTTTCTTCTAGCCAAGTTGCGCGCTTGCACTTCAATTTTTGAAGTCCCAGGTTCGAAAATTTTGTCAACCTATTTATTCTACCAACAATTTTTACCAAAATTGTTATAATAAGGAAAGCACAAGAGAGGTTTCGAGCCTATGAGCCTTTAGTTAGAAATATTGAAATCTTAACCACTATGACACTTGCTGAGTTGTGATACTAAATTTAACAAAATAATATATGTTAGATGTTAGTAGTTTTAATGCAATTGTAAAAATTCGAATTTCAGACCCATGCTCTTCCTTCAAATTATACAAAGCAACAATGTCATTTGGTGTGTACAATTTATTCTTATAACATAATTATATATATACAGCTTTAACAAAATAATTGTTTTATTTAAATTTTAAGCCTTGTTTGATTCCCATTTATTTTAGAATAAATTTTTCATGCTCTTGTTTTTTATCATACATTCTCTAATAATATAATATTACACGTAAATTCAAAATTTTTCCTTATTTTTAACTACACGCTCTCCATAAATCACTATTCCAAAATGCATTTTTTGAAAAAAAAAAAAAAGAAAAAAAAAAGACACCAAACAAGCTTTTAATATTTTATTACGGCCAACGATCCACAGTCAACGGCCGTTCGTGCTGACTCAACATCTTGAATTCGCCTCTAGTTGTTCATATTGATCATAAATACGCATCAGTCCTCTCACATGTATAGAAATTATATTGTGATATATATCATAAGTTCCTGAAAATTTAGAACATATATTGATGGTTGTTGATTGTTGTGTTCATCTCACAATGTTTGTACAAGCTTTTTAGATCTATTCTTGAATGCGGTGCTTAATGATGTTTCTTTTTTTATCATTTTCTATTATGGGCGGGTTGAATTAAACCATAATCAGAAATGAAGCTATCTCAGATGCTATGATCTTGATTTTTTTTTTTTTTTTAACGAGGTGTCACAGCTTGCGCCAGACTATATCCTCGTCCCTGAACCTCCGGCCCCTTAGCTGCTCAGTGAGGTAAATCGCAGGCTGTGCCCTTGTTGGTTCTCAGGTTCCCACATGGCTTTTACTCCTTCCCTAAATGGAGGCTCCTCCATGGTTATTATATCACCAAACTGTTTCAACCCTTCCTCTGGTTATTACATCACTTGGCTGCTCCTACCGGAAATCGAACTCCCCACGCTTGGTTCCAGAACCCCTCAATGTGATTGTTCCGCCAATTTGGGTGTGCCCGGGGGGGCCTTGATTTTTTTTATTTGGTTCAGTCGTATGCTAGTATAAGCGTTATCCTTGCATATCTAAATTAGCCCAGTACAATCGAGATGTGCGCATATGGAATGAAGTAAAATCAACTGTTTAAATCAAAAAATAAATAGGATTGATGGGCATACTTGGAAAACTGCTTGAAGAATAACACAGAAATCCGTCGACTAAGTCGTAATTTGTTGACGAGATACTGCGTCAATTGAAAATTTTGAATTAGATTTGGGCCAATTAAGCTGAAGCAGCAAAGAGAGAGAATGAACAATTTGGGGGAAAAAATTTGGAGGCTAAGACGAAGAGTGGAAGACGGCAAAGAGAGGGAATAATTTTGAGGAAAAAAATTTGCAGGCAAAGAGAAGTGGAAGACTTATGTGGGTTATGAGGACATTTGATTTTGGGTATTAATTAAAAAAAAAAAATTACTTACTCTTTTTTTTTTTTAATTATCGTTTAGCTTCAAATATATATTTTATAGGGATTAAAATAAAAGACAGTAATTGAAAATTTTTCTTGTTAATCATTAGCCTACAAATATGTCTAAAATTTTTGTCGGTAAAAGATATATTTTTCCCATCAATTTTTTTGTCGGGAAAATATACAATTTTTTGTTGGCACAAGTCATTCTAATATTGGAAATTTTGAAGTAAATCGAAGCCCTAGGAAATATCGTTTTGTGGGGATAAGTGAACTTTGCCTACAAATCTCAATTTGTTGGAGGAAATGTTGTAGGAAAATGATAAATTTCTTGTAGTGAACGTGTTAAAGAGTTAAAATGTATGATCTTTGCCTAAAGACTCGAAGCATCTTATACCATCGAGCACCAATTGCATGGTCAGTGGGGTGATTGAGTTGCTTGTGAGCTCAGCTCAATCATGTATCGTTTAGGCTTGTATTGAGACAAGTCATAAGCCGAACCAAGCTCAAAAAATTCTATGCTCGTGGGCATGTTGTTAAATTTGAGTTCATGGGGCTATGCGCTGGCTCGTTGGCTACTAAATATGACTATTTGGCCATTGAAACGTTAAAAAATAAGACAGTCGTCAAATATTACAATTTTTCTATAGTCAAAACTCAAAAATCTATGAGAATCACATATTTTATTGTTACTAAAACTCTCACCAATAACGATGATAGATGAATTAATTTTCATGTATTTTTAAGTATTTCTGTCCAATTCTGGTATAAATATTCATAATCCTTCTTTCTTCCATATGTTAATGAGAGTTCAACTATTCTACATTTATACATATATCTTGATCGAAACTTTTAGATATAGACTTTAACAAATTGGCTCATTCATGATCTCCCAAAAATTTTTGAAACTATTCCTTATTACTTCCTCCCCTCTTCCGAATTATCTTTTTAAACCATGGCATAAGAGATATTTCTAAAAATAGAATTTTGCAAAGCTATATTCAGGAGGCCATGAACGCAGTCAATTTTTAAAAGTCAATATCTAAAATTCCAATATAAAGGTTGAAATACAACCTTGAGAGCCCCCACCATCCCGACCCTAAAGTTTTGTGAGGGAGATAAATCGCGGGATGTGCCCCATCAAGTCAGGGAACAAGAGCTACCTGTATACTGTGCCTACAAGAAATTTAATTCCATGTTTCAAGAATCGAACCCCTACACTACGACTGCCAGCAAGGTGTGAGATAACCTCACTCCTATCCTTTGCATCAGTGGGCTATGCCCTAGGGGCATCTAAAAATCCAATATCAATGTATTGCATCTTTGTAGAGAGTTTAATGTATTTAAAGGATCGGAAAGACAAAGAGCTTCGGATCTAAAATAAAGTGGGCAAATTAATAGCTGACTATTTTCGAGATCTGACTTCATTATTTGTAAGTGTCATTTACCTTATTTTTCTTTCATCTTTCTGACAATTTAGAAAAACTTTGTACACGTAATATCTTATTCGCATACAATTTTAATTTCGTCTAAGTTAAACGTAGTCAGTTTCAAGTGTGAAATAAAATATAGAGACGCTCTCAATTTCTTTAGTTGTACTTGACATTACTCCATAGATTTTGAACCCTAATTTCCATACTCCGGGAATCCACAACTTTCTCATTGTACCATGTAAAACAGTCTCAACTCTTATGAAAGATAAAATGAAACCATAATGGTATGAAGTATGATAGTTTGCAATTTTTTGTACTTATTGGAATGTATTTGTTAGCTATAAATTTCAATCAACTTTATTTCTCTTCTCGTTTAACTACGGATGCAATGGCTCGGCATTTTTGTTTGTTTATTTATATGTATGCTTGTACTCTTTGCACTTTGGCATCTTTTCGCTTTATTTGGTTCTCCTTTCGATTGGAATCGTTTTCTTTAGGTCTCATGAGCTATCCACTTGGAATAGGATGTAACAAATTTCTTAACATGTCATCTTTGATACAATAGAATTAGTACAATATATGACATCTTCGAAGTAGTTGTATTTCACTTGGTTTTTGACTACCTGGGTATACCCAGTGTACTTAATTTTTGATTGCCGAGTATGTCCGGTATACTTGTAAATGAGTTTTGATTTATGAAATTTTATATTTAACAATAAAAAAAAATGAGTACTATCTTTCAAGTGGCAAAATTGTACCTTTTGTATTCAATATAGGATGTTTTTGTGCAGTATCTCAAATAATCTTCATAGGAGCTGAAGCCTTTTTTGCAATAACCGTGAAGTAATGGGTCGTAGTAAGTGGCTGTCCTCTCAAGATTCATATGTAATACTTTCTAAAAGTGTGGGCAGCGTCTTTTAGTAGCGGAAAGCTTCCGATTTCTTGATCCTTTTTTCTTCAACTCCAAAGAGAATGACATTGATTTATTTTTCACAAGTCGGGGCAACCATTCTTGTCCCCTGTCCGTCGAGTATTTTTGTTACCTTACCCCCATAGTCGATTAAGATGGGGTGGGCAAACCAGGGCAGGCAGGATGGGACAGGGCACGACTACCTCATTTATTTATTTATTTTTAAAGTTTTTTAAATTTTAATTTTTTTACAATTTTTAGTTGATGAAGATCAATAGAAAAATTCACGTTTCTTTTAGAAATTCTATGATATATTCTTTTTGTGTTATAAAAAACTTATATTTTGAAACAAATTTTAAATAGACTGGTAATGGGTAGGAATCATATTTCTCGTACCTGTCCTGCCGTCGTCACAGGACAACAACCCCCGCCCCCTTCCCATCCCCATCCCATTTTGCGGTATCTTTT